GCAGCAGCAGCAGCAGCAGCAGCAGCAGCAGCAGCACGAGCTTTTGCTGCTGTTGCTGCTGTTGCTGCTGTTGCTGCTTATCTGTTAGCTGCTGCTAAAAGGGAAATACCTAAACTGTGGGGTGCAGCATGCATGCAGTCGTTGCTGCTGCTGCTGCTGCTATTGTTGGACACTGCTGCTGCTGCTGTTGCTGCTGCTAATCATGGTGTTGTTGTTGTTGCTGCTGCTGGTTAGGAGACAGGTTGCCAGTTGCTGCTGCTGCTGCTGCTGCTGCCATAGATTGGCTCGTTGCTGCTGCTGGTTTGCTGCACGAAGAGACACCAGCGTGCTGCCTCATGAAGAGACAGCACAGGGAGGGGCAGCAAGGGAGCAGCAGCAGCAAGAGTAGCAAATGGGCAACCAGCAGCAGCAGCAGCAGCAGCAGCAGCAACACCTGTCTCTAATGCAGCAAGAAGACGCAGCAATTCCTCAACAGGGAGAGCAACAACAAAGTATTCAAGTGTATTATTTGTTGCTTCTTGCTGCTGCTGCTGCTGTTGCTGCTGCTGTTGTTGCTGTTTCTGCTGCAGTTGCTGCTGCAGCAGCAGCTGCTGCTGCTGTGTCTCCTCCCATACAGCCTCTACTGCACTCCTGTGCTGCAGCACTAACTCTTCTTGCTGCTGCTGATGGTCCCTCCATAGCTGCTGCATCTGTGCATCGTGCTGCTTGTGCTGCAGCTGCAGCTGCTGCAGCGAATAACGCTGACTAATTAGCTGCTGCTGCTGCTGTCTATGCAGCTGCTTCTCTTCTTGTCTTTGCTGCTGACGTAGATTTGCTGTCTGCTGCATCTGCTGCTGCTGCAGCTCATCTAGCTTCCTCTCTGCTGCTGCTGCTAACTCGTCACGTTGCTGCTCCTCTCCTAACTGCTGCTCCCATGGCTCCTGCTGCTGCTGCTGCTGCTGCTGCTGCTGCTGCTGCAGGAATCTAAATAGTACGTAGGCTACTGGTGCATGCGGCACTGCTCGTTGGTCTTCCCTTCTTACGAAGGTTGCTGCTGTAGGGGACAATGCAGCAGCAGCAGCAGAAGCTGCTGCTGCAGCAGCAGCAGGATTAGTAGCAACAGCATTAGCAAGAGCACCTGCAGCAGCAGATTCAGGATCTGCAGCAGCAGCAGCAACAGCAGCAGCAGCAAGTGCAGCACGGAGGGCAGATCCATCTATAGATAACTGCGGCTGTACAACAGCAACTTCCTTAAGACCATGGGGTATACATATAGATAATACAGGTCTTGCTGCTGCTGCTGCTGCTGCTGCTGCAGCTGGTCCTCTTGCTCCTGCTGCTGCTGCTGCTGCTGCTGCTGCTGCTGCTGCTTCGTCAGCAGTAGGGCTGTACTCCAGTACCAAATGAAGGCATTCTGCACGACAATACCTGCTGCTGCTGCTGCTGCTGCTGCTGCAGCTGCTGTTGCTGCTGTAGGGATCGGCAGCGCAGGAGTGCAGCGGGCAGCGACCTAATGCCTGTAGACTCAACACCATCCCTTGCTGCTGCTGCTGTTGCTGTTGCTGCTGCTGCTCCTGCTGCTGTTGCTGCTGCAGCGGGACAAAGTATCTAAGGACGTTAACAGGCTGCTGCATTGCTGCGGCTGCTGCTGCTGGTGATGGCGCTACAGCAGCATAGAATGGATCTCTTGCTGCTGCTGCTTCTGCTGCTTCTGCTGCTGTTGCTGCAGCAGCAGCAGCAGCTCTTGCTATAGGAGTAACAGGCAGCGCGCATAGATAGCTGGCAGCAACTGCTGCTTCCGCATCCCTGGATCCTGCTGCTGCAGTTGCTGCTGCTGCTGCTGCAGCAACAGCAGCAGAATCTAAACACCAAGAAGGGATACTATCAGGAGGGAAGCTTGCGCGTCTGCACGTTTCCTGCTGCTGCTGCTGCTGCTGCAGCAGCAGCATGTGCTGCTCTCTCTCTAGTTGCTGCTGCAGTTCCTGCTGCTGTCTTCTATGGTACAGCTCCTGCTCCTGCAGCTGCAGCTGCTGTTGCTGCTGCAGGCGTTGCTGGTTTTGTTGCTCCTGTTGCTGCTGCAGGCACTGCTGTTGCTGCTGCTGGTGATACTGCTGCTGCTGCTGCTGCTCCTGCTCCTGTTGCTGCTGCAGGTACTGCTGCCTCGGTTGCTGCTGCACACTCTTACTCATTCTTCCTCCTAATCTCCATCTACCTCCTGCTTCTGCTGTTGTTGCTGCAGCACTTGTTGCTGTTGTTGCTCCTCCTCCTGTTGCTGCTCTTGCTGCTGCTGCTGCTGCAGCAGCAGCAGCTGCTGCTGCTGGTGCAGCAGGCATAGAGTGTCTCCTTCCTGGTCTATTTATCCATGGCCTCCTCTGACTAACTTGCTGCTGCACCTGCAGATGCTCAAGCAGCTGGTGCTGCCGTTGCCACTGTCTCTGCTTCTCCGTCTCTGGATCCTGCTGCTGCTGCTGCTGCTGCTGCTGCTGTTGGTGTTGCTGAGGATAGTGCCATGGATGGTGCTGCTGATAGTGCCACGACTGCTGCGGCTGCTGCTGCTGCTGCTGCTGCTGTTGCTGCTGCTGCGGCTGTTGTTGCCATGGCTGTTGCTGAAGACGGCGCGGTTGCCACTGCTGCTGCCGATCCACTACACGTTGCTGCTGCTGCTGCTGCTGTTGCTGCTGCAGCTGTTGGTGCACCTGCTGCTGCAGCTGTTGCTGCAGCTGTAGCCGTTTCTGCTGCTCTTGCTCGTATTCTCTTGCTTCCTGTTCGTACTGCTGCTGCTCCATGTCTACCTTTTGCTGCAGCTGCTGCTGCCTGTGCTGCTCAATATCTGCTTGCTGTAGCAGCAACTGTCTCTGTACAATTCTCTGCTGCTGCTGCCGCTGCTGCTGATCTGTCCAATCCTCCCTCTCTCTGCTCTCCTGCTGCAGCAAATCTATTTGCTGCAGCAGCTGCTCCTTATGATGGAGTGTATACTCAAGTTCTTTATCTTCATCTTCTTGTGTAGGCAGCAGCAGCAGCTTTGCCTGCTGCTGTTGCTGCTGTTGCTGCTGTTGCTGCTGTTGCTGTTGCTGTTGCTGTTGGTGCTGCTGCTGTTGCTGCTCTTGCTGCTGCTGTTGCTCTTGCTGCAGCTGCTGCAGTTGCTGCCTATCCATAGCATCTCTCTCAATCATTTCTGTTGCAGCAGAATCCTCTCTTTGCGTATCTGCTGCATCAGCTGGATCTTTTGCTGCTGCTGCTGCTGCTGCTGCTGTTGCAGCAGCAGCAGCAGCAGCAGCAGCAGCAGCAGCTTTAATTTGTTTAACTTGAGGAACAAGTATCTCTTGTAATTGCTCAATCTGCTGCAGTGTATGCATAGTTATATTATAGCTAGCTGCTAGGTAACGATAGCTAGCTGCCTCATCAGCAGATGCAACAGATACACATACACCCCAACTACCATACCTACCTGCACGACCACCACGATGTAAGAATGTCTCCTTATCCTATACAGCAGCAGCAGCAGCAGCAGCAGCAGCAGCAACAGCAACAGCAACAGTAGTTGGTAAAGGAGGAGGAAGGAAGGAAGGAAGGAAGGAAGGGAGGAAGGAGGGGAGCGGCAGGTGGGATAACAGCAGCAGGAAGAGGAGCAGCAGCAGCATGGAAGGAGGAACTGTTTAACGTCGTCGTTCAGCAGCAGCAGCAACAGCAGCAGCAGCAACAGCAGCAGCAACAGCAGCAACAGCAACAGCAGCAGGGAGAAGAAGGGTTTGTTGCATACCATAGGCAAATTAAAATTAATGACAAAATCAACACCAACAGCATCAATACCTCGGCTCATCTGCACACAAACCCTAAACCCTAAACCCTAAACCCTAAACCCTAAACCCTAAACCCTAAACCCTAAAACCCTAAAACCGGAAGTTCTGCTCCTGCTTTAGTCTAAACCCTCCAATCCAAACCCCCCAACTCCAATCCCTAAACCCTAAGACCCTAAAACCCTAAACCCTAAAACGCAAACCCTAAACCCTAAACCCTAAACCCTAAACCCTCACCAGATCTGAACAAACCATCACTCTGCATTCAAATTTTTTTAATGCAGCAACGCGTTTATCTCTTTCGCTTTGCGGCAATCGCCCACTGAGCAGCAAAAAAAAAACACTCGAGGGTTTAGGGTTTAGGGTTTAGGGTTTGAGGGTTTAGGACAGAATAAGTGGTTACTTACATACCCAAACCCTAAACCCTAAACCCTAAACACTCAATGTAGTCGTACCTGGTGTAAACAGCGCTAATGCCAAGACGCCGTAAACTTTGTGCCACATGTGTTCCCCTGCAACAAAGACACAAACCCTAAACCCTAAACCCTAAACCCTCCTATATATAAAAACCCTCCTGTTTAGGGTTTATGATATCCTTTACACGTTATGTAACCTATTAAATAAATCCTAGCATTTATTGTCTAGGGTTTAGGGTTTATGGATTAGTATTTAATAAGGGTTTAGGGTTTAGCTAGGGTTTAGGGTTTAGCTAGGGTTTAGGGTTTAGGGTTTTGCTAGGGTTTAGGGTTTACACGACGGGTTCATTAACAAATACGACGGCCTGACGGAAGTAAATACGACTCATTGCATGCAGCAGCAACTGCAACTTAAACCCTAATGTACGTAAACCGCTATCCCCCATTGGTACCTCCATCATACCATATATTATACCTGCAGCAGCAGCAGCAGCAACAACAACAGCAACAGCAGCAAACGCAGCAAGAGGAGGAGACATGCAAAGGGAGTTGCAGCAGATGCAGGGGGAGGAACGCCAATCTTGCAGCAGCAGCAGTAGTAGATCTAGCAGCAGCACTACGAGCAGCAGCAGCAGCAGAAGCCCTTGCATCTGCATCAGCAGCAACAACAGCAGCAGCAGCAACAGCAGCAGCAGCAGACCTGTAAGGACTGGGGGTGGCAGCGACATCTCAGTAGCGCGCTGCTGCTGCATGCGCTGCAGCAGCAAACGTGTCTCCTGCAGCGCTTCTTCTGCTGCTGCTGTCCCTG